TTTTTTGTGGTACCGGGGATTGAACTCAAGACCATGCATTTGTCTGACAAGGACTTATTCTACTGTGCTATCTCCCAGGCCTATTTCAGTAGTTTCTTCATAGTCTAATTCCAGTTGTAGTAATTCTGATCAGCTACTATCCTATAATCATTTTTTCTTGGCGGAACCGGGGATTGAAGTCAGGCCCTTGTGCTTGCCAGGCAAGCACTTATTCTGCTGAGTTATCTCCCTGGCCCCTGTCCTATAGTCATAATTAGATTTTTTGTTGGTTTAATTTTGTGTTTTGCTTGCAGTTCATAGGAACACTGAAAATTTGGAAATGAAGGATTACAAGATAGTTTCTTGATTTTGTAGATGTTGCTTTTCTTTCAGTTTAGCCTCTGATATGGTCTCAAGAGCAGAAACTAGTCAAAAGGACAAAGATCATGCCCACCGTTTAAAAGGAGTACTCCGAGATTCTATAGTGATGCTTGAACAGGTAGGCAAACTGCAGCACTGCAGTATGTAATTCCTTTGTACTGGTGCGGTGTGATTGGCTGCTCTGGTTATGAGAATATTTATCAGTATTTGAAGAAAGTTTCTGCATTATGCATATGACATACATATGTACTTGTGTTGTTTTTCTACAAAAGAGTTGAATACCTTTGATTTTCAGTTAGTAATATATTTTGAACATGTTTCCATATCACCTATTTCATTCTTTTCATTATCTTTCCTATATACAATTATATGCTTAAAATTAACTTCCTGTAAAATAATAGCTACTGTATATACTTTTCATTATTTGGCTTTTACCTTTTAACTATATATAGCAATACTTCCATATCAGTATATAAAAAACTTCCTCTCTTAATCGCTGCATAGGTTTTAATTGTGTGGCATATTTTACCAGTTCTTCATGGAAATGAACATAGATTATTTCATTGTTTTGCTGTGATATTGACCATGGTATCAGCAAAATATGCAGCTTAGTTCCATGAATCAAAACTTAGGATTTCCTGTGAAAAATAAAGGTTAATATTTCCATTATGAATATAATACATGCTTGCTTTCATTTTTATATTTATTTTTTATTTATTGAGACAGGGGCTCACTATTGTAGGCTTTTTTTGTGGGGGAGAATTGTTTTTTTAATTTTTAAAATTTATTTATGTGGTACAGGGTCTCCCTACACAGCTCAGACTCATAGTGACCCTCCTGGCTCAGCCTCCCCAGGGCTGGGATTACAGGCATGCACCGGGATGCCTGGTTTTGGTGGCCGGTACAATGTGCCTGGGGTTCTGGCACTGGCATAGCATGAGGTACCAGAGATCAAACCCGGGTCCTTGCACTTGCCAGGCAGGCGCATAGATTGCCAACATCTCTCTCCAGCCCTATTATAGTAGTTCAGGCTAGCCTTGAACTCATGACAGTTTTCCTGGCTCAGTCTCTCAAGTGCTGAGACTGTAGGTGTGCTCCACCGTGGCTGGCGTGCTTGCTTTCATTATGGAAAAAACTGTGACTAGTAGAAGAGAACATAGTTCTACATTGTGATACAATCACTGTTAATATTTTATTTCCTTCCATCTTTTCTTTTACATACATTCTTGTTTTTAAAGAAATTCAATTACTGAGTGTTTCTTAGGATATTACGTGGGCACAGAAAGGGTCAGCTAGGCACTCTTCAGCTGTGCATATCTGCTGTTCTTTAGTAACTCTGTCTCCCAATCTAAGCAAAGCATTCTAAAGATCCATGGGTCTCAGTGTGAACCATTCTACCTAGGGAGAAATGGTGGCAGGAATGAGGAAAAGACACAATAAGACAAAAGCTGGGTTAGGTGGTGATTCGTCTGCCTAGTTGGTGAGATGACTCCCCCTCCCCCCCCCACCCCCCGCAACAACAATATGGACATTTATTTATAGCTTTACAAAGTTAGTAACACATGACACAAGGTTGCCTAGTAACTAATAGCTGACGTTAACCAATCAGGGTGCTTATCTCAGGAGTGAGGTAGCTTGTTTGCTTTAGGCACACAGGCCTAGTCCCACCTACACACATTTGACCAATTTTCTAGCTTCTATGGCTCTCAAAAAAGGGTGTTTCACATTCTTACTTTACTCCTCATCTTCTTCATTTTCTCCTCATTCCCAAACTAATGACCATGATTTCTGGAGAAAAGAGCAACTTTTCCTTCTTCTACAAGCATACCTATAATCCTCTTCTTGTCAAGCATTGGAAGCAGCCCTCTGCCTCCGGAAACAAGTCCCAGCATACATTAGGTCCATCCACTGCTTCTCTACCTCTCCATTCATTCTCAGTTTCTCTTATTACATGGCTTGTTGCCATCAGCATGTCACCCTGCCCTACTAACAAACCCACTTTGTCCATATTCTTTACTTATGTCTGTCTCCTTCCTTTCATAGGATATTTCAGAGTTGCCTACTCTGGCTTTCACTACTTTATTCTTCATAACCCATCCATTTTTATTTTTATCAAAATCAGGAGTTCACATAATTTATTCTACAATATTTGTTCACAAAAAAAAGACAATCTCAGCTGTCTTTTCTCTATTTCTTGAGTATTTCAGCTTTAGACATTGTCTTTTGATTTTCTATTATAGAAAACATGGATTTTATTTTCTTTCTTACCCCTCACCCCCATATATGCATTTCAGATTCCTACTGTCTTTCCAATGAAGTTATAGCATAATTTTGATTAGATCAATACTCATAATTGACTTTGATTTGACTCAGCTTTGCTACTTGAAGCTGGGCCATGCAATTAAATTATGATTTATGTTTTCTGTCTTGGCTATCCTTCTAAGTGTCTTATCACAGGGTTTTTTTTTATTATTTTTTAGGGAAGGGTCTACAAGTTGTACAGGGTCACACTACTAGGTCAGACTCATAGTGATCCATCTGTTTACAGCCTCCCAAGAGCTGGGATTATAGGCGTGCACCACCATGCCCAGTCCCAATTGCCATCTCAACACACCCCGGGGGCAGAGCCGGCTTGGCAGGTCTGGGGATTGAACTAACTCCTTGCCCCTGCTCCTGCTTGCAGGCGCTTTAATCTGCCGAGCTATTTGGCCGGCCCTTTATCACAGTTGATTAGTTTACCTGTATTATTTCTAAGCATTTTGTGCCTTTATTCTCCATTTATAAATCTCTTGAAATCTTTATTCAGCCAGTTATTCCACTGATGGAGCCTTCTGACTGGGTCCTGTAGCCCTCCATTCCTGGAACAAAGCTATCACTGTTAGATTCTTAGTCCCTGTCTCTTCTGCTTCCTGTGTCCTGTGCTTTCCTTTCTCCTTTATTTTTGCCAATACTGGGGACAGAAATAGGGCCTTGCACATTGCTAGGCAAGCACCTACCATTGAGCTACATATCCCCCTAATGGAGCACATTCTTGAGGGGCTTCATGTGGAGGTAAACACTCTGAGTTTAGTTATCTGAAAAAAAAAAAATGTATACTCTTCTTTCTCTTGATTAATGGTTTGGTTGCAAATAGAATTCCAGATTGGAAATAATGTTCCTTTAGAACTTAGAAGACATTTCTTCATTGTCTTTGGATTCTGGTGTTAGTACTGAGAATTTAAAGTCAGTTGTCTTCCTGATCCTTTAATGTGGAAATTCACATTGGATGGTTCTAGAAATCTTCTCCAGTCAGTCGATGATTGCCCTCCCCTCTATTTTCTCTCCCCTGACTTCCTACAATTCCTATATTTAGACATAAGCCTTCTGGTGGTTGTGTAATCTTTTCTTTACTGCTTCCATCATTTTGCATTTTTGTCCTACTTCTTGAGATATATCCTCGGCTTTATCATCAAATTCTATTGAGTTTTCCATTGTAGGAGTGCAAAGAGCCATTTTGCATCATTGTATATTCAGTGCTTACTGCATTGCCCAGCATGCAATAGATCATCAATAAATGGTGAATGAAGACATATTTCTGCATCTCAATTTGCTTATAATTTTATTAAACCAGATGTTCATGCATATTGCTAAAGACTATAAAAAAGAACAAAATTAAGTTTCACATTGCTAAGTAGTAAAGGTAATAACCTGAGAGTTTAGATGCAGGCTAATTAGGGAAAACTAAATGGAAATATTGGAGACATGAATACCTTTTAGATAAGCAAAGAGGAACATGAGCATAATAGCAAGGAATCCCCCCTCCCCCCAGTGGAATGTGAGTTTAGGGATCAATGAAGAGACCACTACACTTTAGAAACTACTTGACAAAACAAGCCTTTCACTTTGGATAATCTGATTTAATGGGCCTACTGGCAGATAGAATATACAGTGGTCCCTTGACTTAAGAACTCAGTGCATTCCCAAGGGCTGGTACTAACTTAAGTGGTCAATCAAAGGCTCAGGCTTCTCTATACAGCCTTCAAAGTCTCTTTCCTGTAGACAGGCAGATCCGAGTCCTTAGAGAGTCATCAGCCTAGAATTTCTTGATCAACCCCATATAGGAAAGGATATTGTCATGTTCTTTCCAGAATCCTTTAAGGGTTAAATATATCTGAGACCAGCTGGAAGCACAAGTGTCCAGAATTTGAGTCATAACTGAAGACTTTGGTTGTAAGTTAAAACCAAAATTCTGGTTAGAACACAAGTTGTTTGTATGTCAGGCTAGTTATAACTTGAGGTTCCACTGTACAGAAGTAGGAAGGAATGCAGTACTCTAACCAGGGGAAGAACTGTAACAATTATAGCCACAGCAGATAGCCCAAAGAATCGGGTTTAATATTCAGTGTTTTATTTTATTCAATGTTTATAATATAAACAAAGGATTATGAATGTTATTGTAAACTATTGGCATACAATAATCAGAAAAATTATACAATCTGATTTTTGAAAATTTTGTTTGCAGCTGAAGAGCTCACTTATTATGCTTCAGAAAACCTTTGATCTACTAAATAAGAACAAGACTGCCATGGTTGTTGGAAGCTAGTGATTTTACAGACTAAAATAACATCTGGAAGATAGCCAGAAGATGAAGGATTTTAATTGTCTGAAGAATATCTCATTTTCTTCTTGGAATTTTTAATATGTTACTCTTTTTAATAACATTTATCTGTTAATTATTCTCTGATAGCCTTAAGAATTCTGTTTTTTCACTTCCTATATATATTTTTAAATTTGTCTAGTGAACTGTGAAATATATTCTGGAATTGAAATTATGTTATATAAAAAGAAAGCAAGACATACTGAATTGTGTGGTATACATTCTTTTCTACAGTAGTAGAGTTTGAAGTTTGAGCCTTTGAATTTGTGTGTTAGTGCAGAATCTACATGTCCAATGGACTGCTTTCACAGTTGTTTATGAGACTAAAGAAGTCTCATAATGTAAAAAGAAAGTGCTATCAATAATTTGAAAGGACAGTTTTTAGACATAACCAACATTTCTAGATTTTATCCTGTTGTCATTTCATATGCAAAGTCATTAGTCATGTTTTGAATATTCATGTTTATTATGTGAAAAGCTACTTATTCATATTGTATCTTGATAAAAAGTTAATTTTTTATTAAAATATCAGAGGTGAGATCATCTTCCCTGTATGTACACATGGAGTCAGTTTAGGAAAAGGAAACATGTAGGATACCAATGCTCTAAATGAAGAATCATCATCTGAGTTTTAAAAACCAGAAGGCTATGTTAAAATATGGACATTTTGTTAACAGATCAAATACGTGCTTGAACTAAGCTTGAATTCAGCTTACAGTCTTTCATGGTGGGAGTGACCCATCTGGTTGAAAATAATTTGCATGTTAGTTTTTAGTAGCCACGTATAATGGCTTCATTCTTTTATGTATGAGTGTGATTTTTTTTTTTAGTTGGTAAATTGTAAGTCAGGCACAGTTTAGTTCTCTGAGTGATGTATGTCCTCATTCAAATGCACTGAGTGACATGAGATACAAGTTTGGGCTCTTTCATAAAAAGTTTTTACGCATTTGTTTCAGTAACTGTGGTTCATGAAACCTAGGACTTTATGAACTGACCTGAAATCAGATTTTCTTTTGGGAGTCAGGAAAACTTCAGGAAGTACTTACTATTTTGACCTTTTGAGGTCTTTCTCTGCAACCTATATATCCATATGTGGGGTATATATTGTTACAATTTGAATAACTTCCCGTAATTATTTTCTTTTAAAAGAATCACCAAAGCCACATGGCATTGCTACAGTCTTTTTTGAGATACCTGTGGAGAAAGTATTGAGTTGATCAGAGGAAAAATGGGTTTCTCAGGTAGAATCCGAACTAACCCCGGGTACCAGTCTACCAGTGGTTCTCTGGCTAAGAATTTTAGTGTCTGACTGTAAGCAAGAGTGACTTAATTATAAATTTGAAACTTTGTTAAATTTACAAAGATGATCACTGACAAGCTGAATATTTTTAGGGTTTCTTTAAAACATGTATTTTATAACATACCTCAAAGATTATCAAAGTTCTTATAAATTATGTATTAAGATATTAATAAAATTTAAACTTGTGTAAACGATGCCAATAAAACAGAAAATGAGTTGTAATTTCTTTTTCTGCTTAAGATAAAAAACTTAGGAGATGTACATGGGTCTGCACTCTTTCAATAAAACCTAAAGAAGACTAATTTTAAGATAATTTCATTTCAATGTGCACACTACCGGAGCAAAAGTACTAGTGAGGCCTGCTCGTAGAATTTCTGCTGCTGCTCGCCAGAAATGAACAAGTTGGAGAAAACAGATCTGGGAGCAGGGATGGGCCTTTAAGGGAAGGCGGGCGAATTTGGGGGTGGTACCTGGGTTGACCAGGTCCCCAGCGCCTGTTGCCGGCGTCAGAGAGCGGGCTGATGACCGGCGGTCTCACGGAGTTGGAAACCCTCGTGCTCCGCGTAGCTCCGTCTCTGCACCCCGCGGGCTCCGGGGGCCGCCCCGCCGAAATCCCAGCGAGGCCCGGAACTGGCGCTGGCGGGGCGACGGCGGGACGGGTGGGTCCGGCCGGCTGGCGCGCACGTGCGGGCGGGCGGGATC